ACTTACATGTTTTAAGGAGGAGATTGAGAAGGAGAAGGACGAGGTTTTTGGTCGTGGTGTTTTGTTGGGGCAAAACGTGTGGTGAAAGGAACGTGTGGATGTGGAAATGTAGCCAAGAGTGGTGGGATAGTGATGTGCTTCTCTTCAGTGACACAGAGTTTATTAACAATTTTCGTGTGACGAGAAGAACGTTTGTGTACATTTGTGGCTTGTTGATAACGTGTAGGTGGATGAATGCGCCTTGGCCGTTCAGACTGAAGTCACGTGTCAAAAGATCAGATATGTATCGGTTTTAGGAGCACATATCCAAGTGGCCTGGGTCACATTTGATAAAGTCGGATCTGTGTGGTTCAGACTGTCATTAAAAATCAGATACAGGTCACATAGGGGCCAAAAAATCAGATTTAGGTCACTTCAGGGTGCAGTCTGAACGTAGCTTCACTGAACAAAAGTTATGCTTCTTCTTCCCACTGTGAGTAAGTGTAAAGTGACAAAAGTTTTATATGACAATAGGAAATGATTTGAACATTTGCACTGTTTCCTCTCCCTCTCTCTCACCTCTTACCTCCCCTCTCTCTCTCTTCTCTTTCCTCTCTGTCTCTCTCTCCTGCCCCCCATGTAGTGAGTGTCTCTCCCCTTATGCTGTACCTCTTTCTCTATCTCTGCCGCTCTACCTCACTCTTCCTCCCTCTACCTTCTTTCCTTCCGCTTTCTCTTTCCACCCGTCTGTACCTACACTGTTATCCCTCTGCCTCTTCCTCCCTCTTCTCTTTCTCCAGGCTCTCTGTCCCCCTCTTTCTGTCTCTCTTTCTCCTGTGTAATGGAGAGGTGTGAAAGGATATTTTTTTCGGAACAGGTAGATAAAGAAAGGGAGAAAAAAAGGGACAAAGAGACAGGGAGAAAGTAGGAGTCAGAGGAAAGAGAACGCTATTTTTTCTTTAGTTTAGTCTACATTCATTTATTGGGACTATGTTGTTTTTAAGTGAAGTTGAGGTTTGGAGTTGGGGTTATTTGCAGTTAATTTGACTTCCGTTAGTGTTAATGTGGCACCTCCCACCCACCACTTCAAAGTCCCGTGAGAGAAGACCAGTTTGAAACAGTTTTTACATAAAATCAAGTGTAAATTCAAGTGTTTTATTCACATTTTTATTCAAGTGTTATCATTAGTAGTTACATGTACATGTTCCAGTTTGCATTGTGTTTTTCTCCATTTAAAACCCCACACCTTCCACCCTCAAACTCCCTTATACACAATATATATACACACACATACATATATAGAATACACACACATACACATGTACTGTACAATACACATATACAGCATCTACATAAACACACACAAACCCATATACACAAACTCATATACACATATTTATGAATGTTCAAAGTGATTCTGTGGGAGTCCAGTTTAACTCTCCACTTTTTGCTGTGTATATGAGGCTTTGGGATCAGAGCTGATGGGCTGTGCACGAGCCCAACATGTACTCAAACATGTGTGAATGAAACAAAACACAAGTCCAGGTCTGTTTTTGAGGATTGAACACCGTGTGAAGAATCCCTCAGTCGTCCAGGTAGAATCCACGGCAAGGAGAAAAGTCAGTTTGTTGACTGGACAAAAGTTAGTTTGGTTGAAGACGTTTCACAGCTCATCCAAGCTGCTTCTTCAGTTCTGGTCAGACGATGGTGGACACTTCCTTATATCTGTCTGCAGGGAGGAGCTAACTACACTCAAACTCCTCTGAAACTAACACACACACTTGTTTACAGTTTCCGTTTGTTAGTTCGGCCTATTGACCTGTACAGGGTGTGGGGTCTAATTAGCAGAACAATTCATGACCATAATGGAGCTTGCACACCTCTGGACCTGACCTGGATACACCTGTTGTTCTTGTTTGTTTTGAATTAGGTTTGAGGATGGAGTTGTAAATAGGAGATAGATGGTGTCTGAGTCTCCATTGTTTAGAGAAGGATTCTCTTTCTTAACAAAAATGGCTTCTTTCACTCCCCTCTCAAACCAATTCTTTTCTCTGGCTAAAATCTGTACCTCACTGTCCTCAAATGAGTGGCCCGTGGCTTTTAAGTGGAGATGCACAGCAGACTGAGGTCCACTGCTGCTCTCTCGTCTGTGTTGGTTCATCCTCTTTTGAAGTAGCTGTTTAGTTTCTCCAGTGTAGCGTTCACTGCAGTCTTCACTGCACTGAATGGAGTAGACCGCATTGCTTGGTTTGTGTCTCGGTGTTTTGTCCTTTGGTTGGACCGTTTCTGTCTTGAGTGTTCGTAGGTTTGAAATAGACCAGGATCTCATGTTGTCTGAAAATCATCTGTAGTTTTTCAGAAACTCCAGCCATGTATGGAGTAGTTACCCCCTTTCTCCTGGGTTCTGATTCTCTGTTGTCCTGTTTTTTAGTTCTCTTGGTTTTGTTGAAGGCCCATTTTGGGTCTCCATGAGATCCCGCTCTATTTACAACTCCATCCTCAAACCTACTTCAAAACAAACAAGAGAACAACAGATGTATCCAGGTCAGGTCCAGAGATGTGGAAGCTCCATTATGGCCATGAATTGTTCTGTTAATTAGACCCCACACCCTGTATAGATCAATAGGCTAACAAACAGAAACTCTAAACAAGTGTTTGTGTTAGTTTCAGAGTAGTTTCAGTTAGTTCACTCCTGCCTGCAGACAGATATAAGGAAGTGCCCACCAACGTCTGACCAGAACTGAAGAAGCAGTTTGGATGAGCTGTGAAATGTCTTCAACCAAACTAACTTTGTCCAGTCGACAAACTGAATTTTCTCCTCGCCATGGATTGAACTCCATTAGAACGCGGCTTAAAGAATCCGTTTTGTGTGATGTAGAACCTTTACAAACACACAGTAGATCGCGGAACATTTTAAACACATCCAGAAGAATTGACAAAAAGACTGAAATCTGAATAAGACTTGGGAGTTTGTTGTTTGTGGAGAAAAGTGTGGGTTTTTTTTGCTAATAGTGATTTGGACTGTACTGTGCTGGATGTTTGGCCCCAGACACTAGTCCAGTGTAGACTTAAATAGAGTTTGATTCTCTGCTGTATCCTCTGTCCATTAGAGCAGAGCAGAGGAGCTTTTAATGTGCATCAGAGCGCCCCCTGTGGTTTGTGCGACTGTAGATAATGTGATAATGGATGCACCTTAATCCAAACATGAGGCTGAGATGAGACAGACGCCCCTGTCCCATCTGTGGATCCATCTTTTTATGTTCTGTTCACTTAAAGAAACCTGAGAGCACCAGCTGTATATTTAGACTCTCATCAATCCTCATTCAGTCCTGGTTTAGTCCTGGGTCAGACATGTGTTTAGTCCTGTTTTAGTTCTGCACTAGTCCTAGTTCTGATCTAATCTTGGTTCAGTTCTGGCTTATTCCTTATTTAATCCTGATTTTGTCCTAGTTTAGTGCTGGTTTAATCAAACATAGATTATGGTTTGTGCTGGTTTAATCCTGTTCTCAGCAATTTATAGATGAATAGATTAATTAGATTAATTAATTACAGATCATAATTAATTAATCTCTCCATTTTTTTAATCTCTTGACAGCACTAGGTTCAGTCCTGGTTTAGTCCTATTTTAGTCCTGGTTTAGTCTGGTTTATTCTGGTTTAGTCTGGTTTAGTCTGGTTCAGTCTGGTTTAGTCCTGGTTTAGTCTGGTTTAGTCTTGGTTTAGTCTTGGTTTAGTCTCGTTTAGGGGGATGTTCTTGGTTGTCTCTTGATGAAGGTTTGATTTTCTTTCTTTCTCGAGCCAAAGCCAAAAGTCTTAAATCAAACGTGTTTTATCTGGACATTTGAGTCGTTCTCTGATATTTGGAGCCAAACCAGAGTCTGCTCTGACACTCTGACTCTTTCTGTTCAAATCAACACAGACAAGACCAATATTTACCCAGATTCACTCATGAGCCACAAAAGCAAAGAGGAGCAGAAACAGAGGAGCAGAACCAGAGGAGCAGACAGGAGCAGACAGGAGCAGACAGGAGCAGTGAGGAGCAGACAGGAGCAGACAGAGACAGTGAGGAGCAGACAGGAGCAGACAGGAGCAGTGAGGAGCAGACAGGAGCAGACAGGAGCAGACAGGAGCAGACAGGAGCAGACAGGAGCAGACAGGAGCAGATGAGAGGAGTAGATCAGAGAAGGCTTTTGTATTCTCCTCTCACACTCTCCAGCTGATGAAATATGACTGTCATACGTGTTACTCATCCTCCATCCGTCTATCCTCTCCTTCGCTCCTTCCCCTTCTTCTCCTCTCTTCTTTTCTTCCCTCTTTCTCTCTCTTTGTCTCCTCTCCTCATCCCTCCTCCATAACTGTTTCTCTCCTCCTCCTCTTCTGCTGCCGTCTCTCTCTTCTCCTCCTCTCTCATCAGCTCATCTCTTCTGCTTGATACTTCTCTTTTTTCTCCTTCCCTGTTCCCACTTTCCTCTATCCTCCTCATCTCCTAACCCTTCTCTCCTTCTCTCCTACTTATCTAACCCTTGCTTCCTTCCCCCTCTCCTCTTCTCTCCTTTTCCCTTTTTTCTCTCTCGCTCACTCCTCCCTTTCTTCTCATCTGCTATTTTCTTTTCCTTGCTTTCTCCACTTCTCCTTTTGTCCTAACCCCTCTCCTCCTCTCTCCTCGTCTGTTCTCTCCCCCTTTCCTCTCCTCTTCTCTCCCTTACTCCTTCATTCCGTCCCTCCCCTCTCTCTTCTCCTCCGAATCCCTCTCTTTTCTCTACTTCTGTTCCAAATGAGCCAGTTGAAACCTCCTCTCCTCCATCCCTCACTCCTCCTCTCTGCTCCTCTCTCTTCCTCCTCTCCTCCTTTCCTCCACTCTTCCTCTACTCCTCCCTCTTTCCTCTCCTCCTCTCTCCCCCTCTCTCCTCCTCTCTGCTGTTCTCTCCCTCATCTCCTCCTCTCTCTTCGTTTGAAATCCCCCTCTCCTCTTCTCTCCTCCTCTCTCTTCGTTTGTAATCCCTCTTTCCCTCTCTCCTCCAGATGAGCCAGGCCAGTTGAAGATCTACCTTCCCAAAAAGCTGTTGGAGTGTTTGCCCAAATGTTCCTCTCTGCCCAAAGAGCGCCATCGCTGGAACACCAACGAGGTGAGAGCGCCCCCACCCTGTGCCGTGTGGAACTGCCACCTGCACACGCCCAACTTTAACCTTTAACCTTTAACCTTTAACCTTTAACAAACTCTGACCCTGTCACAGTACTGCCAACCTTAACGTAACTGATCGAGATGAGTCATCTCCACATCAGGGAGAAGCAAATAATCAAATAATAGCACACTATACAGCACTCTAGAGCAATATAGAGTATTATAGAGTAATATAGAGCGCACCTTAGAGCACTATAGAGTGTACTATAGAGTGTACTATAGAGTGTACTATAGAGTGTACTATAGAGTGTAGTATAGAGTGTACTATAGAGTGTACTATAGAGCGCAGGTCTGTGGCGTGAGTGAGGGTTCAGGGCTGGGTGGGACATTCAGACACACTCTGTGTTGTTCCTCATGTTGAATCGTTGCCTCTCTCCAGGCGCTCGCTGTCAGCTTGAGTTTGTTTATTTTCATTCTATCAGCAGAAACAGTTTGGTTGAAACTTTAGCTTCATTTAAGTTAAACTGAGTTTGCAAAGAAAGTTTCACAATGTTTATTTGTAGAAAAACACATGAAACATGAGACTGAGGTGATCTGACCTGAGGGTTTGGCTGCTTGTGGACAGGGGAGACCTCGACTGTAAATTCTATTCATGGTTTCAGCTTCCTCTTATTTTAGGCCATTTTGAGGACCATATTTTGTTCTGAATTGTTCCTTGTGATGGAGGTGGTCTGTGTTGGAGCTGTGGATGCAGACAGCAGAGGTGATGAGGCCTCCACACAGTCACTGCAGTGTGGACTTTGGTGCACACAAACACTGAACTTTTGTCATTGTGCCTTTCGTTTTCACGTACACACAAATATAGAATCATTCTGAGAGTTTTTGTCACGGCCTCTTGCTAACGCACCAGTGCACGGGCGGCACATGTCTTCTGTCTGACTCCAGCTCGGATGTAAAACTTAGTTTGGTGTGTGAGTGTGGAGTTTGTGAGTTTTCCTCTATGCCCGAGCAGAAGATTACGTAAGACTCATTTGGCCTGTGCTTTTCTCTTCACATTTTCACCCATCTGTCGCTCTGTCTGCTGCTGTTTCTCACATATTTGGTTATTGTTTGGTTTTAGATTAAGCCAGATGCCTTCCCCTAAATTAGCTGTGAACAAAACCAGAACGAAACAAAGATTGGACTTGTCATTATTCAGTCACCACTATTCACGTCCCAGAGAATCCAGAAGAACCAAGTTAAACAAGTTATTTTGAGTCCGAAAAAAACAAAACCTACGCCTCACAAACACTTCAAAGTAATTAAAAGAATTTAAAAATCAACTCTAAAAGACACTGTGAGCCAATGGAGAGAACCAGGACTAAACCAGGACTAGACCAGGACTAGACCAGAACTAAACCAGGACTAGACCAGGACTAGACCAGGACTAGACCAGGACTAAACCAGGATTAACCAGGATTAAACCAGGACTAAACCAGGACTAGACCAGGACTAGACCAGAACTAAACCAGGACTAACCAGGACTAGACCAGGACTAGACCAGAACTAAAAACTAGACAGGACTAGACCAGGACTACTACCAGGACTAAACCAGGACTAGACCAGGACTAGACCAGGACTAACCAGGACTAAACCAGGACTAGACCAGGACTAGACCAGGACTAAACCAGGACTAGACCAGGACTAGACCAGGACTAACCAGGACTAGACCAGGACTAGACCAGGACTAACCACTAACCAGGACTAAACCAGGATAAGACCAGGACTAGACCAGACTAGACCAGGACAACCAGGACTAGACAGGACTCAGGAACCAGGAAACTAGACCAGGACTAGACCAGGACTAAACCAGGATTAAACCAGGACTAAAACAGGACTAGACCAGGACTAGACCAGGACTAAACCAGGACTAAACCAGGACTTAGACCAGGACTAGACCAGGACTAGACCAGGACTAAAACCAGGATTAAACCAGACTAGACCAGGACTAGACCAGACTAAACAGGACTAGACCAGGACTAAGACCAGGACTAGACCAGGACTAAACCAGGATTAGACCAGGACTAGACCAGGACTAGACCAGGACTTAAACCAGGACTAGACCAGGACTAGACCAGAACTAAACCAGGACTAGACCAGGACTAGACCAGGACTAAACCAGGATTAAACCAGGACTAGACCAGAACTAAACCAGAACTAGACCAGGACTAGACCAGGACTAAACCAGGATTAAACCAGGACTAAACAGGACTAGACCAGATAAACCAGACTAAACCAGGACTACAGACCTAGGACTAGACCAGGACTAAACCAGGATACCAGGACTAGACCAGGACTAGACCAGACTAAACCAGGACTAAACCAGGACTAGACCAGGACTAGACCAAACCAGGACTAACCAGGACTAGACCAGACTAAACCAGACAGACTACTAGACCAGGACTAACCAGGACTAAACAGGACTAGACCAGGACTAGACCAGAACTAAACCAGGACTAGACCAGGACTAAACCAGGATTAAACCAGGACTAGACCAGAACTAAACCAGAACTAGACCAGGACTAAACCAGGATTAAACCAGGACTAAAACAGGACTAGACCAGGGACAAGACCAGGACTAAACCATGATTAAACCAGGATTAAACCAGACTAAAAATAACCAGGACTAAGACCAGGACTAAACCAGGGTTAGAACAGGACTAAACCAGGAACCAGGACTAGACCAGAACTAAACCAGGACTAGACCAGGACTAGACCAGGACTAAACCAGGATTAAACCAGGACTAGACCAGAACTAAACCAGAACTAGACCAGGACTAGACCAGGACTAAACCAGGATTAAACCAGGACTAAAACAGGACTAGACCAGGACAAGACTAAACCAGGACTAAACCAGGACTAAACCAGGACTAGACAGGACTAGACCAGGACTAAACCAGGACTAAACCAGGACTAGACCAGGACTAGACCAGAACTAAACCAGGATTAAACCAGGACTAGACCAGGACTAAACCAGAACTAAATCAGGACTAGACCAGGACTAGACCAGGACTAGACCAGGACTAAACCAGGATTAAACCAGGACTAGACCAGGACTAGACCAGAACTAAACCAGGACTAGACCAGGACTAGACCAGAACTAAACCAGGACTAGACCAGGACTAGACCAGGACTAAACCAGGATTAAACCAGGACTAGACCAGAACTAAACCAGAACTAGACCAGGACTAGACCAGGACTAAACCAGGATTAAACCAGGACTAAAACAGGACTAGACCAGGACAAGACCAGGACTAAACCAGGACTAAACCAGGACTAGACCAGGACTAGACCAGGACTAGACCAGGACTAAACCAGGATTAAACCAGGACTAGACCAGGACTAGACCAGAACTAAATCAGGACTAAACCAGGACTAGACCAGGACTAAACCAGGATTAAACCAGGACTAGACCAGGACTAGACAGACTAAACCAGACTAGACCAGGACTAGACCAGGACTAGACCAGGACTAACCAGAAAACCAGAACTAAACCAGGACTAGACCAGGACTAAACCAGGATTAAACCAGGACTAGACCAGAACTAAACCAGAACTAGACCAGGACTAAACCAGGATTAAACCAGGACTAAAACAGGACTAGACCAGGACAAGACCAGGACTAAACCATGATTAAACCAGGATTAAACCAGGACTAAACCAGGACTAGACCAGGACTAAACCAGGGTTAGACCAGGACTAAACCAGGACTAAACCAGGACTAGACCAGGACTAGACCAGGTCATATATTTGTCCTTTTCCTTTCGTTCTTTTCATGTTACACAAAAGCACATGGTTCTGGAGATGGTGGAGATGTTCCACACAGTAACTTCAGATACACTCGTCTTTCTGGACAAACTCACTCTCTCTCTCCTCTCCTCCAGCTTATCTCCACATTTACCCATCATTCCTCGCTCTCTGTTACCCATAATCCCCTCTGTCCTCGCTCTGATGGTGAGTTCAGATGGAGGTTGTGTCCCCCCGGTGGATTCCTTCAAAGCCTCTCTCCTCCTCCTCTCTCCCTCTCCCTCTCTCTCTCTCTCTCTCTCTCTCTCTCTCTCTCTCTCTCTCTCTCTCTCTCTCTCCCTCTCTCTCTCTCTCCCTCTCTCCCTCTTTCTTCTCTCTCTAAACCTTATTCTTTATTATTCATAGTGAAGACTTAATATTACCTCTGATTCGACATCACCAGTGTTACTGCTTCTGCACTTTCCTGCAACAACAAGACTGTGAAAAACCAGGACTAAACCAGAACTAAACCAGAACTAAACCAGGACTAAACCGGGACTAAACCGGGACTAAACCAGGACTAAACCTGGACTAAACCAGGACTAAACTGGGACTAAACCAGGACTAAATTAGGACTAAATCAGGACTAAATTAGGAGTAAGAATATGTGCGTGTATGTGTGTGTTTGTGTGTGTGTGTTACACATTTACACGAGTCTTGCTGACACAGTTTCACACTTGGGCTGAGTCGGGGTTCAGATGACATCACAATCTTGTACAGGCCAAGAATATTGAATGTGATTTGAATAAGTGTTGTACAAATGCAGGTTTGTGGAGTAACAGTCATACTCGAGTATTCTGTCTGTAAATCATACTGAAGATGGACGAGGGCAACTCACATGACGACTGTTCACATACAGGTGTGTGCTGTCACACAGTGTGCTCTGGGCTTGTGTTCCCAACACAAATGATCAGATTTAAATGTGTGAACTGATCTTCTGGACATTTATGATAAAATACAAAGTATCTGTGGACATGATCATGTTCTAGAATCTGAAAATCACCAAACCCTTGCGACTTCAGATTTATTATTTCTGTGCTAAGGCCGTCCTGCCCCCTGAAGTCTGATCACCATTTTGATTTGTGTGTCAAACCTTCTCCAAATATAATCAAGTTGAAATGATTAAAGTTTAACAATTTATTCTATAAATCAGTATATTTATTTGATTTGTTTAAATATA